CACTGGAGTAACTGTAGTGCCAGGGAGATGCCTCCTCTGTAAGGCCTGGCTGGCACTGAAGGATGGTGATGGGTCAAGAAAGAGCTGTTTTTAACTCCTGGGGCCCCTGCACCAGATATTTGTGGCTTGGGTACCTCCTGCACGTGAGAGCAAAACTCACCCAACTTAAAAAGGATCAACAGAAAATGGTTCTTTTCCTAAGAAGGAACACAACTGGAATGAAGTGAGCTGAGGCTTCAGGCGGTTTGATGAAAACAGTTTATATTTCAAGCTTAGAAGGTGAAGTTCTGGTGTGTATTCTTTTCTTGAAACGTATATTGACATTTCTGTTACTGCTCATTGAAGCAATATTGTTCTCCATATGCTCTTCTCATCAGCATCTCATTATTGTTGGATAAATATGTCTCTCATTATGCAGAACATTATTTTTGAAGTATGGAATCATTATTTTGTTACACAACTTCCAAATATGGACCTTTTCAAAGATTTATAACAATCTTCAAAAATTACTGTAATTAAAGGAGAACTTTCCACAAAGAGAATTAATTAGATCAAAGAAGCTTTTAAATGTAAATCATTAATCTGTGCATTACAGGAAATAGTTAGTGACTATGTATAGTTCATTTAATTATACTTGGTTCAATTTTGTTTTCTCATTACATCACAATTTATTCAGAATTAATTCGTAATTTCTTTTCTAATGTGATTTCTGTTTGCTTAATATAGCATGTATTTTCACTAGCATGTATTTATATATAAATAAAAGTTTATTAGTGACTGCTAGGTTAATTAAACTGTGGAATCTGCTGTCAATTATCTGTGAATTTTTTTGCTCTGTGGATGCAACCCAGAAGGTCTGTGCTTTGAGAACGGGAGGTAGGGTGTCAAATAAGTTTTTGAATGGATGAATGTATACAGTAGATTGGGACTGTCACTTACTGGAGGGGACCAGGTGACACAGAAGACAACATGGTTTTGGTTCCCTTGTGGAGAAGAGGAAATTATGAGCTTAAAGTCCATAGTAAGTAATTGGTAATGGAAATGGTAATCTTCCGAGCAGTAATAGGTTGGTGGCTGAAGGTAACCAGGTCTAGGTGTGCCATAAGGTTTTAGGATGTAGGGTTTTTTGTGCAAGTGGTTTACAGGTTTTGTAATCTTATATAATGAATTTGCATAGTGTAAGGGTAGGAAAATATTTGTTTTCTGTAATTTAACCTAATAAAATTATTTTTAAATGTCATGGGTTTTTTTGAAGTTGTTTTAATACCTTGACAGTATATTAATATTTATACTCTCTTATCTGTTCATCTGTAGCACTCAAACACTTATATTTTAAAACTTTGCTGGAAGTACATACATTTGTAACTTAATTTTTTGGTAGTAATTAAATAAGCTAATTTTGAGCCATTCCTCCTCTCCCCCACTTTTAATCAAAAGACTTGATTTTCATTCTGATTGAATTCTGTAGCCAAATTTACCCTAGCCTCAGACTATCCAATATTAGCATCATCTGCGTTGAGTTTGGACTCAGCTAATCTTTTTTGAATCTTTGAACACTGAACTGTAAGCCAAAACTTGGCTATCCAAGACCACATCTGGCTTGCATAGTATTACCTCATTTGTGTAAGGTAGTGCTCCCAGTTTCTTTTCATTATTTTGTTTTCTGTGTGCTGGAAAGGGGAATTTGATATGAAGGCTGTGGTGGCAACAGAAAAGGTTTTTAAGGAACTTCAGTGATTTCGTTCTCACAGTAGAAGTCGTGGTTCTGGTACATAGCTAGGTACAGTAAATAAACTAATCAAATAGGAATAAGAAATTCTCAGCCAGCTACATGTTTGATAAATGTTTAGGCCCTACTAGCTATTCTGTCAGGTTTGCTGCATACAAAGGTAGAGTAATATTTATGTTGGTGAATTTCTTAAGATTACTGTTATTTCTTCTAGTGAGTGAAATTACCTCTTACTAGGAGGACTGTTTTGCTACTTATAACAAATGAAATGCTGTCAGAGTTCATGTGGATAAACAGCTGTTTGCTGAGGAAGGCAAAACAAGCTATTGGTTTGCACTGAGAGAGGAATGTTGTTTTTTGTCTTGCAATTTAGGTATTTTCAACCTGCACTAGGTGGAATGAGATAAATCTTAATAATACAGTCATCTGAGCGGTTTGTAAGAGATTGGATTCACAATGTGTTTGCTTTGCTTCTATTTACACCTGTAACATAACAGCATGAAATGAATAGTGTTTTGTTCTCAGTATTTGTTACTAAACATGTATGCATGGGGAAATAAAAACATTTGGAAATGGGTAACCTTAGGTTAATTAAACCCATCTGCTGTCTGACTAATGACAGTAATACTGTATCCAGGGAATCTCTTACGCTAAAAGATTTGATAATGCACACAAAGTTTTCTAACAAAGCACTCTTAAACCAGCGAGGACTCATGGAACTGGAGAGAAAACCAATCCTAGAGAGTAACTCAGTATTGTAAGGCTGTGTTTCATGTGGGAATGTCCCAGAAGAATATAAGAACCACGTTTGTTTTTCCCTGAGATTCAAAATTATAACTGGCAGGAAAAGTAAAACTTGTTTTTATCTCATGCTACGTGAAGTTGTGGTTTATAGGGCTGATTTAAATGGCTGTGTTTCCATGCTTACAAACAGCTAGGATACAAATGGTCATTAGGAAAGAAGCTACACAGGGTGCAAAAATGAGCTTCAAGTGACACCATGATGGCATCTGAAGGAAGACAGACTTTTGATTTGTATTGGCTGGCAGTCCGATCCTATACTTCTTATATATATCCTTATATATATACCTCTTATATATATCTTATACCTCCTTAATACCTCTTTCTGAACAGCAACCATGATAGCTACTTTTTATTTACACCGTTCTAATTCATACCAAGAGGGGGGAAAATAAAGGCTTGATACTACAACTTTCATGCATTACACGTTGTATTGGTCATAGGTCCTCTTTAGTGTTGTTTGATCAATGATTTTTGTAGCTGTAAATTAGGTTTTGGCTACTTCCTAATGCATAGTTTCTGGAAAAGAAAATGAAATATGTAGTTTGAGTTTACTGAAATAATTACTTGGTTAATTTGCATTTCATATTTTCATACGCTTGTACAAAACATGGTGTTGGGGGAAACTTGGGACATTCATGGAGGCCTGCGTGCTTTTCAAGGCAACTGTAACAGCATCAGATGAAAAATAGTTTATTCCATGTTGAATTGACAGATGGGTAAACCAAAACTCTGAGAGAATAATGTTGTTCTGGAATTTAATGTTTAAAACGTACAAAAAAGAGTGGCTTAGGAGAATTGAACATAGAGGATGGGTTTGTGTGATCTACATTGGAGGAACTTGTTTAGGCTTCCTTTGTAGTGAGTTGGACGAAGTTGCACTAATATGTGATTTATCTCAGCTTAAAGCAGGAATCTAAAATAGGTCAGATGAATCGCTCTCTGAAGCGTCTGTTTTTCTCCTCCACATTTAAAGTGACCATCTCAGATATGGACAGCTGAAGTTCAATTAGGTGAACACATTTCTGACTGTCACATTTTAAGACCCAAGCTAATTATTGCTTTTTGTAGATGCTAAAGACAATTTGTTAAATAATGCGTTTTAAAAGGGCTTTTTTTATACAGTTGTGCCAGTTTGAGTGTAGAGATTTATGATGTGTTCCTAAACAAGTGTGTCACACGTTAGTACTTCAAAAATGTGGCCTGAAGCATAAATCTGCCATGTATGCTTTCTAGTTCTGCTTCTCTCTTGTGTTATTTTGGCTTGCATGGGGTAGGAACATGCACTCCTATCCCCATACGAAGGGCAAAAGCTGAGCCCAGGCTGAATGCTGTTATTTGCTTTACTCTACAGGGACTTGTGTTCACTAGAGAGCTTAGCCTTGAAAGTGCAGAATACGTAAGTGAGTTTGGAAATAGTAATTGGCCTAATTTAAAACATTTTCTGTCAAACAATTTAGCTTATTAAACATTTTTAAAAAAATAGTTTATTTTTCTTGTGATCTATAAATAAACCTGCTTCTACTAGTAAACACTGTAGTGTATTCTGGGAGTTGATAGTGAATTCCTAGCAGATGAGTTAGCAGATGTATATTCTGTGCAACCACCTATAATTACACAGTAGCTATGGTTACCAGGTTAAAGGAATCATGTCCTGATGATGAACAGAAATAGATTGCAGCAGACTGGTTTGTTTCTTAAAAGCAAAATACTCAAGCAAAGTTCATGAGGTCTGAGAACATATGAGTAACAAACGTAAAAGCACACTCCCTTTACTGAACTGGTGCAGAGCCTGCTTTTTCAAATCCTTGTTTTGATACAACGTTTGGTTTTGCTTGTATGTAGTTGGAGAATTGGCACGTTCTAGCACATGCAGAATCACAGAATCCTTTAGGTTGGAAAAGACCTCTAAGATCATGGAGTCCAACAGATAATATGTTGCCTGGAAACATCAAAAGCACTTGAGTACATTTCCCAAAGGGAGTGCAGATGTTGAGGAGCTCAAGCCATATTGGTTTCAATGTAAAGGACAAAAGATTTAATTTTTCAAAAGTTTCCAAATGCTTTAGAACTGCAGTGGATTTTGTTGGATTTAAGGCCCTCAATCACATAAGTTTTTCTCATCATGTTGCTCTCCCTCTATGAATTATGAACTATGTATTCTGTATTTAATTGGAACAGAAGTCCTATAATGTCAGTGTATTACAGTGTAAAATAAGATTTTATGGAAAAACACTCTTCCTCAGAGTATGGATGCATTTAGACCTGGTCTTTTACACCACGGAAGCTTTCCTAGGGATGCCAGTTGGATCAGTGTGATAGCCACTTTAAATTCTAAGCATATTAAGACTAACACTTTGTGCCCGATCTTTCTTCATTTTGTAAGCCTAGCTTACAAATTCACGGCTATGAGAGTGTACTCAGTGGGTCTGTTCACCTTGTTTTTCAGAATAACCAACCATGACTACAGAATCAGGATCGGACTCCGAGTCCAAGGATAAAGAGCAGGATCAGCAGGAGAGCCCTGCGCAGCAAGGGGCAGCAGAGACCCAGCCGCAGGACCAGCAGCAGCAGCAACAGCAGCAACAGCAGCCAAGTGAAGAACCTCAAAACGCACTCGAGCAGTTCTCAGCTGTGGCAGCACACAGCACACCAGTGAAAAAGGAGCAGGTAAGGGAGCCTGAGCATGCAAGTAGCTGTGTACCCACTTACTGCTCCTGGGAAATAAGAAGTCTGGTATGTTAGGAGGGGAAATATATATTCAGTGATGCATGGAAGGGTGTTTGATGTGATGCTGTAGATCTTGGCTGGCTGGCCTTTTGCATTTAAAGAATAATAGTTCTCACACAGAATGTTTTGAAGTTCATGGCCGGTATTTCTGCCTGCAGTGCTTAAATATAAGGCTAGTCTCATTAACTAAGCAGGAAACATCTTCGATCTTGCATTTGTGTTAGATAGCACACAGTGTCAGTTTTTGTGAAGCTGAAAATGTTTTCAGAGTTCATTTCTTTTGACACCTGCTGAACACTGATTTCATGCTTGCTTGTCTGATGTGTGAGCCATGAAGTCTGTGGTCCCTTAAGCTTCTCATGGTTCTGGAATAACTGCATTATAATTACTTGAACTATTCATGTAATAGGTTTCAGAAGAGCTATCGCGTGCTTTTCCATTTGGTTTATTGTAGCACTTATTAAATTTGTGGAAGCTGCTTTCTTCTTCCCGTTAATAATTTCCAGTCAATAGGATTAACAGACATTGTTCTTCATGGGTAACTGACCCACAAATAATGAGGTACTTGCAAATCACTTCACTTAGCTCCATAAGGTTATGACCCTCATCTGATCACATTCACCTTTGGAGAGTCAGTCTAACTCCTCCTCTCCTCCATTCTTTAAAAAATTTCTGGCTGTTTGAAGTAGACTCTTGTTATTTTACCTGGCTGGAAGAGTGAAGCAAGCAGATGTAAGGTGTTACTTAAAATCAGTGTGAGTGCTCCTCTAGAAGTTCTCTGGGGCTGGCTGTGGTCTTGGGTTTTAAGCTTTTTTTCAGAAAGCTACAGCCCAAACTTAGTGTTGGTGTGGAAAAAATGAGCGTATGAGCAATTTCAGATACAAAATATTTTTGTATCTCACTCTGGTAGGCGTGTGTTACCTAAATGCTTGGCACAACAAATGTTTCTGGGACCAAATTAAAACAGGTGTCTAAAATCTTCCATCTCAAGAAGTAGACAGCAGGGCAGGATTTCTGCTGTTGATTGCTGTTGAAGTTCAGCCATTGGAAGAACTGAGGTTTTTTTTGAATTGCCAGCCATTTCTATTGTTGATAACCCTTGATAGCCTCACTCCATTGCCCACTAGACACCTCTCTGTTCTTGCTCCCACATCCACCAATTATGTGTTGGGGCAATTTGGTCTCTGAAATAGATCAGAAATTGCCTGTAATTATTTTGGGGGAAAGAACCAGGGCTGCTTGTCCAAAAGAGGAAGGTGTTAAATAAACTGGTCATTAATTTAAAGTGTAATTTTATCAGTCCTAGGCATAAGTAGTATTATTTTGTTTTTCCAGACATTTTCAGTAATCATTCCACTTCAAGTTTCTTTTCATCTTAAAAAAGTAAATAAACCAAAAAACCCCAAACCACAAAAGAAATCCAACCCCAAAATAACCACACACACAAAAAACCACCCCAAATTAGACACCAAAACTGTCCATCTTTTATATTAAGAGGTGTGAGTTTGCAGACCTGAGATGCTCTCATGTGCTGCGTGATCCCTTTCTTTCCCAAAGGAGATCACAGTGAGCTGGTGTCTGTAGAAGGCTTGATAGAAAAACTGGGTTAGTGAAAGGGATATGCGACACCTTCCTGTTGAGATTACCAGATTGAATCCAAATGTCCATGCTGTAAGCAGACTGCCAAATCCAACAGCGATGGTAGGCCCAGTACATTTCACAGTGGCTTAAGTGTCTGTATCACAGGAAAGAACCACTCAAAAGCAGCACTAAGAGACAAAGCTATTTGCAATGGTGTCATTAAAAAAACCAAAACTTGAAGCTGCTCATTCTCTTTCTTGATGTCTGTAATTGTAGTGAGGAAATTGATTTTTGCTCTTGCTCATATGAGAGAACCTTTGGAAGAAAGATTTAAGTTACCAATCCATGAAAGTGTCTTTTGTCACCTTATACACATAAAAAACCCCAAAACATTTTAATGAAGAGGAAGAACCTTTCCATATTGAGATTAATAGTTATTAGAGCAATAAGTCCTTCCTATCAGGTGTAATAATGCAGCCTAGCTATATGCCTGCCTTCCTGTCTCTTTGAAAAAGAGAAGGTGGTATCACATGGGTTGGGCATCATTATTTCCAAGCAACTACCATAAGTAGGTGGGATTAATGTGTTGTGCAAGTGTGGTAATATCACTTCATATCCCAATGGGACGCTGTGAAGTAGCCAAGATCATTACTGCTGAATCCCGAGACTCCAAAGGCTTCCTTTGAGAGGAGGTGCAGCTTCAGAAGGGCTTGAACATACTGTGTCATAGATGAAAGAGGTTGTGCTCAAAAAATACAAACCCTGAAGCAACTTCTGGTGCACTAGAATTTAGTCGATGACACCAAAAATACTGCAAAAATATGGTACAAAAGTATCTTGGAGAAGAATTTAGAAGAAAATGCATCTACTCTTGTGGAGTTCAAAATGATTCACTGTGTGCATGGATTTTTCACTGGCTATCTTTTTTTCCTAGATTCCAGAATGTCAGGTTTCTTTAGGAAGAAGGGTCTTAATACAGTCTGAAAGTACCTCAATGCCTGAACATGTCAGCATAGTTTGGGGTAATCTTCTCTAATAGTTCTTGGCATGTTTTTTTCTCCAGACAAATGAGAGAAAATCTTCTGTATGATTTTAACCTAGACACATTCCCCTGATCTTAATGTAAAAGGGAACTTTAACAAACAAAATAACCTCAGTAATATTTTTAAATATTTATAAATAAACAGAACTCTGCTGTAGTCTTAAGTTACCAAGTGTCTTTATGAAGAAAAATAACTACTAGTCCATTAGGATTCCCAGAAATTACTTGCAGGCTAAATATAGTTCTCAAGTTTAAATGGGCGATGGGCACCCTTGTTGTTGTGGGCTTTTCTCTCAAGCAACTTTTCTGTTTTCTTGTAAAAGATTAGTTAGTTCCATGTATCTGGGGTATTTCGTTGGTGTTTTTTTTTGTTGTTGGAGTGGAGTACTAACTCTCACATCAGAAATGTCATGAGCCACTGTGTATGACAGTGCTGCTTTTTTTTTCATCCCCAGAATGACTTCTGCACCCACATGTAAGCACATGCAGCTTCCCTGGCAGATTTCTTTTAACAAAATGTACAGAAATCATCAGAGTCCCTCTGCCCATCAGCAGCAGTGCAGCTCTGCACAGAGGCCCTAGGAGGAGGTATCTTCAGTCTTTTTTATATCTCAGTGCACCAGCCTGGACCGCTTGCCAGCTGGTTGTGGAGGTGGTGGAAGGTTAGCTGGCCTCGAGCCTTGCTGTGAGCCCAGGGGGACTCTCTCTCTTTGTCACAGCTGCTGTGAGTGTTAAATGCTCAGCAAACAGCTAATCCACTGACATACTTTGTGCCTCCATCTCCTGACAGTCTTCAAGGTATGTTAGGACCTTGACATCCAGATGTCAAAGCTGATGTCCAAGTACTGGAAGGAGAAAGTCCTTTAGTGCTGGAGCTAGATGGGAGAAGAGATGGCAGGAGCTGGTCTGCTCCTGGGGAAGAAAATCCATGGCTTGGGAGATGTGGTGGATTTTGAAACCAACTCTTGCTTTTTTATCTTTTAAGTTCCATTTTCTTCTAGCCTCCCCACCCAGGAAGTGCAGGAGACCATTGCTATGTTCTCTGTTGCAGAGAAAGTAGGACCGTGGGGTCTTGCCTCACCTCCTTGTAATTTGCTGGGGCTTTGGTTGGAGCTGGCACCTTTGGTATCACAGCCAGCCAGCTCCAAATTCCCCTTCTCCTCATTCACCTGAAGGCAGAGGGGAAGCTTGTGGCTTGTTTTTATGAAATCACTCAAGGACAGTTCACTGTGATTTAGCAGTACACTGTTGTTTCTGGTTATATGATTCAAGGTTGTTCTGGTCTCAATGCAGATTAAAGCCTTTAGATGGATTTGCTCCATTCTCATGAAGTCTGTTATATTCAATGGATGGAAACAGACTTGGAGGGTTAATTTATAATATATTTCCAGTAATGCTTGTTGCTTATTTTACTGAAATAATTCAGAGCTAGAGCAGGGTGGGTTTTTTTTTTGCCTTGTGTGAGATAACAGAAAGACTTTTTTATTTTATTTAAACTTTAGCTTAAGTATTACTGCACTGCTTTTGAGGTTTTGTTTGGAATCTATCAGGACATAACTGATGAGAAGGGTAATGACTGCAGCACAGTGCTGTTACTAGAAAGGGTGAAATGCTGTAGAGCTGCTCTGGCTTTCATCTAGTGCCATGGAGAGAACCATGTGCTGCACTGTATCACGGTAACTCTTCAAATGGCCTTACTCTCAGATAAACCCAAACAAAAGTGACCATGGTTGTTTCTTCTTGCCCTTTTCCCCTGCAGTATATTTGTCTTTCAAATAGCACCTTTCTTGTCAGCCAGAGGGACTTAGTGGGCATCTTCAGAGAGCAAAATTCAGCATCTCATTCTGTACTTATCATCCATTAGTCAGCTGACTGCACATAAAAGTTGTTTGGTCCCTCACTTCCATCCTATTTGTTTAACCCTTTGCTCGCGTGCTTGGGTAGCCTTTTGCTCTCCCGGGCATGTCAGCATCCCCTTGTGAATTCACACTGTTAGGGGGGCATCCATGCCCTCATTCAGGGACTGATTTCTCACTGACAGCAAAATTAGTGCAAACCTGATGGTATTTTTCTATTCCGTATGGCACCATGGAAGCATCATATGATTTAATAGGTATGGGACTTTAAAATAATAGCTGGGAGGAACATGGGAAATCTTTCCAATAAAGATTGTCCTACATCAGGGGCTTTCTTGTCCAGGCCCCACACAAGGCTCAATTAAATGCTTGGGTGAAGGGTGCACAGTGTACTGCATGGCATGATTGGTTTATCTCACTTCAAAAAGTATATATATTTCTCTCTATAGGTCACAGAGAAAGAACAAGAGTTTGCAGCTACAAGTGCAAAACAGCTGGAATATCAGCAGCTAGAGGAAGACAAGCTTTCTCAAAAATCTTCATCTAGCAAACTCTCCAAGTCTCCTCTAAAGATTGTCAAGAAACCGAAAAATATGCAATGCAAAGTGACACTCCTGGATGGATCGGAATATGCATGTGAAGTAGAGGTAAATGGCTTTTTGTCTTCTTTTTTTTCAACTGTCCAGCAGTAAATAGTGGAAATTATATTTCTAATTTAAGCAAAAGGATGAATGTCCTGATATTTTGCCGGTGCCAAGCTCAGAGATGCTTTCGTTGTTTTTTCTGGACATTGAAGAAGGTGCACGGATTTGAGCTAGGTAAGGCATTCTGAGCACTCCCTGAAACAGCCAGAGACTTTGGATTAATTTTTTGTTGGCACATGCCACATCAGAATGCAGAAAACAAATTATGGGCAACAAAGCCCATAAACAAAGAAGGATTTTGATCCCATCGGGCTTTTCTTTTCCTCGGTACTCTGCTGAGTTGAGACTTACATTGAGTCATTGTCCATGCAGTAATTCTGACTATTGTGAGATGAGTAAGGGCATGAGAGATGTCCTGGGTAAGTGGGGGAAATTTCAGGAGCAAATAACAGTGGGAGTGGAGAGTTTTGTGTGCTTATCCATGTCTGTGAATCATAACTGTGTCTGAATGTTACTGGCAGAAAGATGCTGTGATTTTTCTGTAAGGAAACTTGCTTTCCCTGCTGAGACTCTGTCAGGAGCCTACTTTTGGAACAAATGCGCTCTTACTTAGGATCCAGCCTGTACCAGGGGGCAGACTCGTGCTAAGAGGATACCTTGCCTTGAACTCCAGAAGGCCCCAGAAAAGCAGAAAATGAGCACATTGATTGCCTCAGAGTAAGCATGACAAAATTCAGCATTTCAGAGTTGACCCATTTCTCCATTCACTCGTTGTCAACGAGATGATTTTTGGACAGTGGACTAGCCTGTCCTGAACCTGCTTCAGATCAGGAGGTCATGCATGCAAGGAAGGGGCTGATCCCTGGCTGAGCAGCGGATAGTAGAGGAAGGATGTGTGTTGGAGGGCTTGGCAAAGCCAACCCTTCTTTGAGTAACCTCAGAGTGCCATGGAAAAGAAAAGTCACCTGGGGAGAACAGGAGAGTATAAAGGCAGAGATTAAATAGTCTTCAGTCTTGAAAGGGGATTCCGAAGGAGCATGGAGAAGGAGAGAGCGTGGAGGAAAAAGTACCGACTGGGAGCCAAATCACGACATCTTTACAATCAGGTTGTGCTTGGCCCTCATGTCTGTCAGCTGCTCTCCTTTTAAGTGCTTTGGAAAATGACATGTGAGGAAAAGCCTTATTGGTTTTTATTTAACCCTGACTTTGCAGTTTGGGCCACATTTTGCTATGGTATGAGTGAGTTGCGAACAGAAGCTGGTATTTTACTACTCTTACAACAACTTGGCAGTCCATGCTGTTGAATATCTTAATTTCACTGGTTGAGCCCTCTGTTGTTTCCTTCAGTCTAGGACTAACTGTTTGGCCACATACCTTGTGACTATTAAATGGTCATTTCTTGACCTGCAGTCTCAGTTTGGTCTCTCAAGGATAGCATGTGAGCCATTAAGCTGGAAGAATGACTCATACTGGCTTTGATGTAAAGAGTCAAACTTGTTTCAGCTCTTGCCACTTGTTTGTAAAATGTGAGTCACTTTTTGGAATATAATCAAGCGAATTTTACCAAATAGGATTTCTATCGAGATCTTGTAGCAGGCTGAGCTTTATTGGAATCTAAGATGGTGCAGAAAGAGAGATTTGTTATGTCAGGTTTCCACTTATGCAAAAAATGTGAATAATAATTTCTGATAGGAAGTTGCACTCTTCCACTAAACTTGAGCTCTGTTGGAGTTGAAGTGTCAAAATGTTAGCATATGCAAGCCATCATGTTTTATTGCTTGTGAAATTTCTCTGCTCAGCAAGTTCCGAATAACTCTTGAATAATGTCCAGTATAAATTTTGTATGCATTTTTCTACTTAAATTGCTGAAATATTTTGAAGTTGTATTGACTGTCATCAGTAATCATTTTATCTGCTTCTAAGATGATCAGGCTGCCTTGGCAGAATGTAATATTGATGAGAATATAGCTCCTAAAAGGATGAATCCTCAAATGACAAAGCTGTAAGGCTATAATGATGAGCAGACTGTTGAAACAGAAGTTAGTTAGAAGGAACAAATATTTCAGGGAACAAGTGCAGCTGGAGTGACCTATGCATTTACTTGCCTTAAATGGGCAATTCAGACTTTGCATCCTTCCTAGGTGGTATTGTCAGTATGTTGTGTGTATGGAGGATGCAACTGCAGGTACCTCTCTGGCGCAGCCCACTTCAGCCCATCAGAACACTTTGTAGATCCCCAGGGGAGTCTACTTTCCATGTGCATAAAGTTTAGCTACAGCAAAAGGATACTGAGTCCAGCCAAGAGAAATTCTGTGACTTTCACTGTGCTTTTTCTCCTGAGGAGAAAAAAGTATATACAAAGGGAGTTAGTAGGGCAGAGAAACTGAGGGTCTGTCTCAGCAGACATCTCAGGAAATCATGTAGGAGGCTGAAGGTGAAGTTCTCCTACAAGAATTTTGGATAATAACAAAATTCTGTGGCTGTTTCACAGAAACTCAGTGCTGCAGCACGAGAAATACATCTGTCATGTTTCAGAAAAATGCTGTCATATTTGAAGGCTCACCTACAAGTGAACTCACTGTATCAACTTAAATGGGGAAAAAACCCTATACATGCACATCTCTCTCTCTATATATAGATAGATATATGAAGTATACTGAGACACCCAACAAGTTATGGAGGTCAGTAAATTCACCAAGATTAATTCTTTAAAAGAAAGGTGAGAGGGGCAGACAACACATGGCAATCAGATATTTAATACTTCCATTCCTTGTGTTCAACCCACTCAGCTGCATCTTTTGGAGTGGACAGTGACCCAGGGTAGGAATGTGACAGTTGGTGAATGTGAGTCAGAAATGTCATCCTATTTTGTCAGCTCCTGTCTTTCAGCTCTGTGCGTATCGTGCTTCTATCTACTGAAGGCTGCAAAGCAATGTAATCTAGAAGGACCAGAAACTTAGAAACCTAATTTTGAGCTAGAATTATAGCTCTGTCAGTGAATCTTGGTTTGGATGCAGGCCAGGTATTTATCTCTCCAGAACTGCATTCTCTAGTCTGGGAGTTGGGGATCATTATAGAATCCATCAGTTACTCTACAGAGCGGTTTGCAAATGACAAATGCTTTTTATATATGTTAAATATTAATGTCATTTAAAGGAGCTTATTGCTCTCCAGTAGAGTGCAGCTTGCAGCTTGTCAATTATGTGTTCATCCAGTTAATGACCTGGCAGCCGACGTGGCACATACTCTCAGATTGAAACACTTCTGAGGCAGGTTTGGTTAATCCATTATCTTCTTGGTGTCCTTTGTTTCAGAAGCTCCTCTTTATTGTTCCATATTTAATTCTGAGCCTCTTTGCTGCTTTCTGCTGTATCTTTCAGTCTCTCTCACATTTAGTGCTTTGCATTTGTGACACTGGGAGTTTTCATATTGTATGAGATGTATCTAAAGGGAAAATGTAGAGGAACTAACTTAAAAGCTGAGGTTAACAGGGGTTCGTCTAATGTGGTATCCATTCAGTGAAAGGATCTTAAGCAAATGCCAGGTAAAATCCTTCCCTTGAGGCTCTGCAGTGTTACTGCCTGTGTGCTCTATCTGTCCTGACCCAGAAAGTCTTTCATGCAGTAAGACATTACAAGCCAAAACCAGGTTAAGTAGGTAACCCAAACCTGTTCATTCATCCTCCTCCAAAACCATAAAACACCAGTGCTGCCATCTCTGCCCTTCCTGCTGTTCTTGTCCAGAAACCTTCAGATGGTAGTGGCAGCCTTATTTCAGAGAGGTGTTTCCTTTTAGAGGTGGGATGGCCACCTAATGGTGCCTCCCTTTCCCAGGGAAGGCTGTTGGCTTCTGGAGAAGAGATATTTGCTGTACACAGACATTTCCCCAGTACTCTGTTAAAGAAGAACAGCCTCAGGGTGGCTGCGTGTTTCTCCAGTGTTGTGAGCAAGCTGGAGCACTCAGTCACAGGAGTTGACGCAGTCTGCTCAGAGGAATACTGAGTGGTGGTATCCACCTAAATGTCCACCCCTGCTGCAAGCGGTTCTCCTTGGCCTCTTCACTGTCCTCTCTCAGCCAGCATCAGGCTCAGAAATGTCGACTGTCAAAGAGGCCATAGCTGTGGTCAAAGGTGCACTGCAAAAATTTAGCTGAAGACTTCTGTGTTAAGCAAGCTAGACCTGTGCTTTGCATTTTTTTGTTTGAAGAACCAAAGATAAAGCAAGATCAAAGACTGCTAAAACCTTAGAAAAGACAATGAACAGACTAGTTCAAATTTTTTCTAAGATACAAAAAACCAAGCAAAGTAACTTATTTCTGGGTTTCATCAGCTTTAAGTAGGGATACAGTTATGCTTTTTCTGGGATTTATTTCCCTCCTTGTTCCACTCTGCCCCATTTCAATTTTCTGTTATCTAGACTACTGCATTTTAATTAAAGATGCAAGTGGAACCAGCTGTTATGCTCTCCATTACACATAGCCTAATTTAAAGTGTCTTCCTAAAACAAGTTGGAATTTGTATTTGTTTCTGCTCTAAACATGTACATGTTATTATTCACAAAGTGAGATCAGTAATCTATAACATAATCTGTCTAAATGGTAGAATGGTAAAATAATGAGATTTCTTTTTGGTAGGCTCAGCTGTCTGAGCCCATTGGTAATTTATACTCTTTCGTCATTCCTGTACCGCTCAGACTTTCTTATTGTGCAGACCACCAGTAAATTAAAACAAATGTTTCCATGGCAGCCTGTCTGTGGCATCTCTGCAGCCCTACATCAAGCAGTGAGTTGACGCAAGATTTTGATAAGCTGCAGAGCACATGGAAAGCTTACATCTCACAAAGCATTACTGCTACCCCCACGTCTGGGTGAGTGGAGGTCAGCTGAGGTAGGAGGGGACTGGCAAAAATACACTATTTATGTTTGGTTGTTGGGTTTTTTCCCTCAGATTTTCTCAGTCACACTGCCACTGGGATCTGGGCAGTGGTTGGGTGTCCCATGCTGTA